AAGACACCGAAAACGGAGGACCACAATTCTTTGAATTTGCTTGTTTAATCACTTTTTCAGACTATGAGAATACATTATTACAGTACAGACCATTGATGCTGGAAGTGAGATGGTAGTGTTACTGGAGACTCAGGGATCCAGAAAATAGATCCATAAATTGTACAGTGTATTCATGAAAGTGGATCAAATAAAAATGTTTAATCGAAAAGTAACATTCTTGGTTTTTCTGTTAGCATTTTTTGTTGATGTAAATCTAATTACTATCAATTTTTGGCATGCAGATTCATAATTAGATTGTCGAAGAATCTGAAACATGTCTTTATATTCTGCATTTTGAAGTATCATAATTAAAACAAGGTCAATATTAAATGATCAATCAATTAATTTCAAAACAGACAAAATGTTTTTATGACAAAAAAGAAAGAGGGCTAGTTTAAAGTCAGATGATACGTTCCTGAAATTTATGTTTTGTATCTCTAGGTATTATATAAAAAAATATTCATATTTGTCATTCTCTTCTGATTTCTACATTGTTTTCAAAATGTTTTTAAATATAAATACTACAATTTTTGAAAGTACATGGTGTGGGGTAGGCATAAAAAAACTAAAAGAAAAAAAGGGGGGAAATTCTCCAAACTCAAGGGGAGGGGGGTTAAACATCAGGTTATGTTGAGAAAAAATTTGAGTTGAGGATGTCAATCCCCCCTCCTACCCAACCCAAACCTGATGCTACAGCGTCGTGCCAAAAGTATTCGCGGAAAAATGGCGGACGTCGTAAAACGTTCACGCTTCGCGTTTTTTCAAATCATTCTAAATCATTATGCAATCGCTTTTTTGTATTTTGACATCATCCCCAAAACCGCGTAAGGTCAAAGTTTACCGTGATGTCATGTTTGAAGTCTGCTTCAGTTAGGCTGCCGAAAATTACGGACTGTAAACAACATGGGTAGAAAATCAAAAGAACTGTCACTAGAGATAAAACAGCTGATTATAGATTTGAAAGAAATCGGACATAAGGTCAGTGAGATTTCAAGAATTATGAAAATTCCCGAATCTACATGTAGATAAATTTTGAAAACGTTTCATCAGCGAAAAAGTGTGGAAAGAGCTCCTCGTTCGTCGTTCGAGACGTCCCAGGAAAGTGTCAAAACGTGTGGAAGTAAGATTACTTCGTATGGTTAGGAAGAACCGGGGAAGTGTTCTGAAGGACATAACAACTGATTTTAATGATGGAAATTATTGTGAACCTATTAGTGAACGGACAGTCAAGCGGATTTTACATAATAACAAAATTTACAGACGAGTAGTGAGAAAACGTATGGTTGTTAAAGAAGTAAATAGAAAAAAAACGTTTAGCATGGTGTTTACTCAAACGAAGATGGACTGTTGAACAAAACTGGAAACCTATCATATTTAGTGATGAATGTCAAGTGGTTATAGGGCAAAATAATCGTGTGTACGTCTGGAGATCCGCCCAGGAATCGTACCGTCCGGAGTGCATGTATGCGATTTCAAAACTAAAAGTTTCCGTAATGATATGGGGATGCATCAGCTGGTATGGTCCAGGGACTCTATGCAAGGTACAAGGTAATATCAATGCTGAGAAATATATACATATCCTTGACAACCAACTGTGGCCTGTTATTGCCCGACATTTCCCTGCAAACAACTACGTTTTTCAAGACGACAATGCTCCGGTACATAGAGCCCGTGTTGTAGAGGAATATAAACGTGCAAATAATATTCGGGGTATGTTGTGGCCTGCCCAGAGTCCGGACATTAATATCATTGAAAATTGTTGGCATAGAATTAAAAGACAGATCCAAAATCACGCCAGAGATATTACCACCCCTGATCAGCTGTTCGCTGTTATTTTGCACACTTGGCAGAATTTCACCATAGAATACATTCAAAACCTTTATAAATGCACCCCAAAACGCATCATGGCATGTATACGATCCAAGGGACATTTAACAAAGTACTAAAAGTAAGCGTTTGTTATGTTTTTGTTGTACTTGGGTGACTTTTATGTTGCAAGCGCGATAACTCTCAAATCACGTCCGCCATATTTCCGCGAATACTTATGGCACGACGCTGTCGGTCCTACTAAACAGAGTACGCTAGTACGATAGAGTACTTTAGAGTACGCTACTCACATTTTATTATTTAATGCAATTATACTACTTTTTGTATGTTTTCCTACTTTAGTTTAACATACTGAATGTATATTTTAAATAAGATTTGTATTTTTTCTTTATTTTTGGAGTTATTTCAGTTTTTTATTTCAGGTTACGGTTCATCGTTTGATCCCGATCTTATTTAACTTAAACATTTTGAAATGTCTCCTTGTGAATGTGAAAACTATTTACACATGAATTAATTTAATATTTGTTGAAATTTAGATGTAAGTATTTAGTAAGTAAATCAGAAACAAAATAGTAATCGAGATTGGGGTATTAGTAATCTTTAATGCGTTGAATTATGAATGACTGTTATTTCTTCTCAAAATATATCGCTAAATATATATTTGAAACAAAATATTGCAATATAAGCTTTTATAATGCTTAATCAAGCTGTACATACATAAATAAACAAATTAACTGCAATAAATAACATATTTTTTCTAGCGTACTCTAAAGTACTCTATCGTACTCTAGCGTACTCTATTTAGTAGTACCCCGACGCTGTACATGCCTGATTGATATGGTTTTACTTTAAAATTATGTGAGCCGTCATAGTGACTCTCTCTCATAAACTAGAATTATTATGAGCAAGCTCATAAAATGATATCAGCCCTCCTGGTATAACATAAAATGTTTTTTTTTATTACAAAAAGGTCCAAATATTAATTTGAAATATTTTTAACATGCAGATTTACATACCCAAATGACTATGACATATACTCAAGTCATAGGTAGTAAAACCTTTGTGTAGAACACAAACTTCTAAATTCTCTTCATTCGAAGTTAAATATGTAAATATACCAAACTCATATAGAACACTTTTACTGCAGTGATCTTGAAAAAGCTATGTCGTTGAGTCAAGGTCAAATGTGTCCAAATGAATTGTTGGTCAAGGTCATGACAAACCCACAGCTCAAATAATAATCCCCGAGATGAAACTTCAAGTCTTTTCATTAGAATATTACAGAATGGGCAAAGATTGCACTATTCTTCTTCCAGTGACCTTGAACTAGTTCAAATGACCTTGGGTAAAGTTCTGGACACATCTCCAGATCATAAGCAATCTTAATATCAAGTATGAACTTTCAGTGGCGCTTCATTGCAAGTCAAAATTTTACATACATATGGATATGTGACAAGGTGATTCCTATAATCCCCCCTCTTTTATTTCAAAGTTTCGTTTGTGAGGAATATAAATTCCTTTTGAAATTTAATGTGCATTTATTTATCAACAATAGTAAAATTATGAGTATGCTTTGATCAGCCCAATATGACCAATATAATGGACACTGTACATGTATTCAATTTACCCCTACCCCTTCAAAAAAGCTTATAAATGCCAGAATGACACACATTTTAACAATTTTTAACTTTTTTCTACTAAAGTTGCCTGCAAATTTTATTGTATAGATATGACATATAGATAACCCCTAACAAGACCACAGCTGTGGTTGTAGATTTTGTGTATATATTCATTTTTTTTTTCCAGCTGTGGTTGTTATGGCAACAATATTACTACAGAAATTTTGTTTTTCCTATTTTTTAAGAATAAAGTAATTCCATTTTTCAACAAATAAAGTAACCAAAATACCTTATCTTATTGTCACAGGGTGAATAAATTAATATTATAGTAAATACTATATAATTTATTCATTAATAATTTGTGACCTAATATACTAATCATTTCATTACCATCATCATCATTTTCATCTATTATACAGCATAGTGAATTACAGTACTCTGGAATTTACTATGTGTTCAGTCATTCATAAAGTCGTTCATTGATATTCATGAGGTCGAATGCCTATTGGTTGGTTTGGGAGTGTGAAAGGTCAAAGGTGTTTGTGTCAGAATCGGTGCGGCTTGAAGGTGTATGATTGGTTGATATTTCAGTGTGAGAAGTGTGTGAGTGGTTTTACTAGTTTGGTACCCAATACGCATGCTTGGCGCCAAACACCCTTAATAACTCACTCCAGGAGCCAGGAGAAAGGAAGAGTTTATCTCCTCTCCATAAAGTCTCTTATTTAATAATAAAGACAACTTTATACCTGTCTATTCGGTAAGAATTAATTTACCACCGTTGCTTAGATAATTTAATTAAATACTTTATCAATCAATTATCTAATTAATCAGAACAGTTAAAGTATTATAAAATAATTAAATGTGTGAGTTAGTGTATGAGTGTATTCATTTATTTACAGGTCACCTTGTTACTTGTTATTCTTCTAATTATATTCATCCAAAGTAATTGAAATGAAGAAATACAAATAGAATCCACCAACAGCTGTTCTGTTATTTATGGAGTCAGATTAATTGCGGCTGTGACATTATCACGTTCAGAAAACATATTCATAGAAAAATGTCTAAAAATCATTGATTTTCATAAGGATTTATGAGCCCGTTGCTAAGGAAATGAATTTCCTTGGATACAAGTCCCTTCATACATTCAAAAAAAAAAAATTAATTGTGTTTTAGCATTAGCTAGGACAAATTCTTTTATATTACAAAAGCTTTTGAAAAAAAAAAATTTGACTTTCCATTCAATGCTCGATGCTTGCTGATTTTGACTCTTAAGTCAGATACAGTAATACAATAAATAGTGAGGTGTTGTACAAATACAGAAATGATATGAGCTGCATGATTTTTGACACAGACACATTACATAGCTAAGTATAACTAAGACTCTTTGGTAGTGAAAATTAAAAAAAAAAACCATATATTTTTTATGTTTGGTACAGGAACGTGGGTACACAACATTTATCAGAGTCTATATTTGTGGACCTGAGTCACATACTGGGATCCTTCGAGCAGGTGATTATGAGGAGAGAGATGGTGGACTTCTTGGAAATGATGAGAAACCAAGTAATGAAAACAAGAAAAAAAATAATGATAAGTGGGAGTTACAAGGAAGGATTTAGGCTAAAGAAATCAGATTTTGATGAAATGTACTGGCAGAATGATCATATCGTTATATGGGACATTTATCAGTCTCAGAATTACGACTTAAGTAGAAAAACACTTATTCTCTGTGATTGTTCTGAAAGCCCACCAGGATTTGCATTACTTGAATTACTGACACCAACACACAGTAAAAGTGTAAAGAATGCATGTATGAAATTAAATGACAAACTCTATATTTCCAGTTCAAAGTACAGACAGCTAACATGTTCAGCAGTTTATCCTAATTCTAAGGAACATGGTCCGTGTGGTAGTAGTGTTTTAAGGGGAGGAGAATTTGATACAGCCCAATGTTTTGTCTGCGAATTTTGGCCCCCTCCTGCCTCCAAATGGATAGACAGATGTCACTTATGGCCTTCGTCTGATGTTGTTCATGACATAGTCAGAAATGGATGCCACTTTGTAGCAATAGGACATAAGTTAGGAAAACACACAGAAACGGAATGGAGAATTTCCTTTTCTTTGGCAGAACAAAAACTTGTATACTCAATGAATCATTGCCAATTCTTAACCTATGGGCTGCTTAAATTGGTCTTAAAAGAGTCTATTAATGATGGATTAAGGAATGAGGAAAAATTACTGTGTTCCTATCACATGAAGACAGCAGTTTTCTGGGTGATTCAACAAAACACAATACCTCAATGGTGTCCTCAAAATCTTCTTCATTGTTTCTGGATCTGTTTTAAACTTATCCTTAAATGGGTGTATGAGGGGGTATGTCCAAACTTCTTCATTCCAGAAAACAACATGTTTCTGAGTAATATCCATGGTAAAGCACAAAAGAATTTATTTATTAGGCTTCATGAATTGTATGAGAAGGGTTTAGTATCGCTGCTTCATATCCCATCTATCAGTATTACAAGGGTCCAAAATCCAAGACAACCTGAATATATGCTGGCCTCCAGAGTTTCGTTTGAGTTAGATCTATTGCTTGAGTTGCCTCACAAACAGCTGCCATTAGATGACCTATACTCATGCATTAGGTTCTTCAGTGCTGTAGAGAAGTTGATAATTTTACCCATGAATCTGTATCGGGTTCGCATGTTACAAAGATTTACATCACATGCACTCCAGAACATTGCTTTTATGTTACACAATTTTTTTACCTCTGTTGCACGAATCAAGGCATATATATGTGCTACATGTAGCTCAGTTGTAAACAAACAGGTGTATATGGCTAACAAAGCATCCAGTTATATGCTGAAATTAGCAGCCAAGTTTGGATGTATTTCTGATATGTTGTTTATTGCAATGTTTTACTACAAGACACTTAGATACAAAGAAGCTATATCATTTATAGAGATGACAAAGGTTAAATTGGCACAACCACATGTAATGTATTTCAACAATTCATCTCCTAGTAAAGATGCAGTTATGTACATATTTCGTGAGTCCTTTGGGGGAAAGTCCTGTTCTACAAAAATGAGACATGCTGTGGCATGGGATATTTTTCTTAATAAAAAAATCTGTTACATCAATGAATTAGTGCAAGAACAACAGTCTGTGTTACAGTCTGGATTCCCTTTGTTATATATCCCACTCTATGTTTTGATACACATGTTAGAGGTTTTGTGTTACAGACATGTAGACCCAGTGAGAGCACAATCAGCTCTTAATGACCTACAGGACCTGGTCCACAATGATCAGGGGGTCTATATACAGATACACGAAAGAGACATATCGTGGCAGATTCTAGGGATCTGTCAACAGGTGACAGGGAACCTCTAAGCCGCTCTATACTCATATCAACAATCTCTCAGACAAGAACCAGTCCACAAAATACACATAGGTACAATTGTCAGAATTATAATATTGATGTACAAACTTTATTTCAATTAACTGTTGCTTGTGAACATAGTTATATGAATGATATATATAATGGCAGATTCTAGGAATCTGTCAATAGGTGACAGGGAACCATGAAGCTGTTCTGTTCTCATACCAACCATCGCACAAACATACAACACAAAACTGCTATATTGATGAGGATACTAGAAATCATGGAACTCATGTAGAGAAATCAATACATGTATATACTATATATTATTATAACAGTAACTTGATCCGAAGGGTCGTATCACGTCGAGTTGACAGGCGCGGATCATCAGATCAAACTCGACGCTTCGCGTCTCGTTAGATCTGATGATCCGCGCCTGTCAACGAGACGTGATACGGCTCTTCGGATCAAGTTACTGTTATAATGATAAATTTATTATATACCCCCTCATAACTAGCAAAATATAGCAAAAGAAAACTTTAGAGATCAATTGCCTAACATTTATCCATAAAACAAAGCATAATAACAAGGGACTTTTTAACCCGCAAGAAAAATAACGTCATATTTCTGCGTACTACGTCATCAGTTTCAGAGAGTGGTGATATGGATTCAGAAAATAACATGTTGGTGATCCGGAAAATCGGATCACGACGTCACGTGATAGCGTAAATTCAACAGTAAAATTGGGTGATACACAGTAGGTATATAATAATATACCATATCTAGTATATGGTATTAAAACATGGTATTGTTTAATATCCTTTCAATGGGGAATTTTTTTGGTTTCTATGACAGGCTTCTATGTACATATGGTGAAATTCTTATCAAGTTTTTTTTGTAAATTGAGTTTTTATTATTTGTAAATAAAGTTTGTGAAGCATTATGATTTATATCAGTAAAATCAGATAAACTGTAGATTGGTAAATAATCATGTTGGTTTTAATTTCACGATGTTCGTGATTCATTATTTTTCCTTGAAATTGAATCAATCATAAATGCTATTAGTTTTTAAAAACATTTAAATGCTCATAGGTAATATAAATTTTCTTGCAGAATGAACATAAAACCATCACTCTAATTGGTACTTTTTGAGAACTTGTAAAATTTAAACATTGTGGAAGTAAAGCAACTTACAGGCTTTCAGATGATAAATAGATTTTTAAAAAACACAACAGAAACATTCTGTTGAGTTTCAGCTTTTAACACAGTTTACCCCTGTATCCTGTGATTATCTCTCATTCGATATTTTTTTTAGATTTGAATCAACACAACCTGAGGATGCTTCTATCTTTCTTTGATTACATGTAACCATGGCTTTAGAAGACTTTAAAAGATTTTTTACTGCAATTTAATTTTCTATTGTGGCCCGCTCTAACCCAGGAGTCATGATTTAAACAAACATAAATTTAGACAACCTGAAGATGCTTCTGAATCAATATAACTTATCATGGCTTCTCAAGAAGCTTTTTATTTTTCCAATATATTTCAATATGTTAAACTTTGATCACACATTGTGGCCAACTCCTACCCCTGAGGTTATGATTTGAACGAATTTAAATCTACACTACCTGAAAATGCTTTTAATAAATATGACCAATCTTTACTGATTTAACACGTGTAATTTACAAGGCTTTTACTGATGTAACACATGTAATTTACAGACTTTTACTGATGTAATACATGTAATTTATTTATGCACACTAGTTTTTTGCTATGTTATTTTTCATGTACATGTAACTGGAAACTTTATGTTTAGAATATATTCAAAATGAATAAGTTAATAGATCATCAAATGAAAATGTCAAGAAAAAAATATTCATGTCTTTATAAAATTCATTCATTCTAATGTGATTTTATAATCTAATTTTATTATCACAAATCTCTACATATTGATCTTGTTTATAAGGTGTAAAACATAAAAAGACCTGTATTTGAGGGTGACCTGGCCCTAAATACTAGTTACAGTGAGATTGATATAGACTTCTTTCTTTTTTTTTCCACACAATCTCCACTACAACAAGGGTCATACTTCTGTTGGTGTTAAATGTATACTTTGTTATTATATATAAAAATGGTGCTAATTTGCTTTGAGATATTTATGTATATGTATAAAAAAAAGAGGCGTCAATAATTATATATTGGTATAATGGTGTTAAATGCATACTTTGTTGTCATAAATAAAAATAGTGCTAATTTGCTATAAGATATTTATGTATATGTAAGAAAATGAAGCATCAATAATTATATATTAGCATAATGAGAAAAAATTTTGTTCCACTATTCGAGATATACTCGTATTATATAATACTATATCGATCCAGGGAGCTCCTGGCACCCTTGGTGAGGTATAACCAGAGGGCTTCTGCGGAATATTTGCCTCACCGTTATATTGTGTTATTGAATAAATAATTGAAAAAATAAATAAAAAAATATGAACAACCATGGTTTTGCTCTTCTTGAGAGGATGATTTTAAGTTTTTTCCTATGTTTTCCCATGGTAAAGTTTAATTGATCATCCATTGTGGTCCCAACCTATCTCTAGGGTGAACTGAAGATTTGAACAAAACAGGGTTGCACTATCAGACAATGTTTCCATTTTTATCTTGCCTGCCCAGTAATTCTTGAAAAGATTTTTAAAAGACACTATTGTTATGTTCCCCAAACGAAGTTGTGAAATGTCTAATATAATCGATTTAGCCATAACTTTTCTATCATTTGATGAAAGGCTTTGAAACTCTTAATTTTAGATATATTAGTAGTATAGACATGATGACATGGTCAAAATAGCAAGATCTCACGGGCACATCGCTCTGATTGGCTGAAACTAAAGTCTTAATATCTTTCTTGTTTTTGACAAAATCCTTTGAAAATTTGAATCTAGTCATACACTATGAAGGTCTACAGCATGTTATATAGAATTATCATGAAAACATGCGCATGCACATGTGCTTCAATCTGATTGGCTGAAACTTTAAATGCCTATAACTTTCTGGATTCTCAACAAAATGGAATGAAACTTAGAATATGAATAGGTATAATGAATTCCTACATTATGCTATTATCAAATTTGAATGCAAGGACTTGTATGCATGCACATGCATGTGCGAAATATTTAAATGACCAATATATTTGAAAAAAAAGTAACATTTATATTTTTTGATTTTTTTAATTGATTCTCACGATATAAAGATATGTAAATGGTTTAGACAACATGCCATATTAATCTTGCACGTGAATGCATGTGTGTGCGTGTGCAATGCGTTAAATGACATATAGTTGACATCATTCTAGTTTATTTTTAATTCTAAGTTATCTCCCCTTAGAAGAAGGTGTGGCACTTTATTTTAATAAAGTTGAATCTTCTTTACCTAAGGATACTCGATGCCAAGTTTTTTTTAAAATTGTCCCAGTGGTTCTGGAGAAGAAGACAAAATTGTAAAAAAAAAAAAAAAAAGTTAAGGGCTTGACACCGACGACAAACAATAGACAAATTGTGATCAGAAGAGATCACTTGAGTCTTCCTATTAAAACATTCAATTAAAAACATTGACAGGCTTAAAAGAATCCCCCATGATTTGTTGTAACAGATGATTTTTATCCAACTTGTGTATTTTTTATCCCCTTGCCAAAGTCTGTGAATAAAAAACATGAGTTGGATAAACTTACATGTATAGGTATTAAGAAATCAGAGTTATTTGGAAATGGACTTATCTAATAACTTTACATGAGTAATTTATCCAGAAGATGATAAGCCCTTACATAGTATGTGTATTACCTGTGACAAGACCTACCTTTTAAAATGTGCTATGATTTTTTACCCTATGACCTTAAAATTAGACTTTGACATAAACTTTTTAGAGAATATTTAGAGCTTTCACCTTTCATATGTATATTACCAGGTACCTGTGACATTCAGAAGACTTTTCTAAATAGAATATAATTTTTTACCCTAAGATCTTGACCTTTAGGTTTGACCTAATATCAAAAATTATCCGCCTTTGATAAAAATTGTGAAATTTCATTGGCCGAAAGCAATACTGCATGTAACGATGTTATGCTGTCTACCCACCTCACATTCCTAATATGCCCCCTCCATGTGACCTACCCACCATATATTAAAAATTTACCAACCACACATCATCAATATACTGCTATCACGTGACCCGCATGGAGCTTCATAACTGACGTCACAATGCATCTGACGACAACGTATAGAGGATGTAGAACGTCTTTTTTGGACGTTCAGTGAAAGCGCTTTATTGTTGCAATCAATATTTAATCTTCAAAATTCAAAACCTATATTTTATTGCTCTGCTTATCGTCCACCATCTGCCCCCTCCTGCTGGGCGGAGGACCTAGCAAGGGAGGTGAACCGTGCCTCCTGCTGTGACGATACTGAAATAATTCTAACAGGTGATTTCAATATTGATTTAATGAAAGACCCCCCCCCCCACAATACTGAACATCTGCTTTAGAGGAGTTTGGACTTTCACAGGTATTACTGTACCTACAAGAGTAACCAGTACCTCAAGTACCTTAATTGATTATTTTTATACGACAAAACCATAAAACATATGTGAAATCTGTGTCCCCCCTTTTGCCATCTCTGACCATTATCCTGTGTGTTCTACACGCAAGGCAAGCTGCATGCAGCGAAAAGGCAAACATATTGAAATTCAATTCCGAGACTTTAAAAAAATTAATGAAAATAATTTTCTTACAGATTTAGCATACGCAAATTTCAACAGTCTTCTCCAACTTGATGATCCAAACGAAATATTGAACAGTTTTTATGATTTATTTAATGACGTTCTTAACAAACATGCAAAAGTAAAAACAAAAAGAGTCAAGACAGATCGACCTAAATGGCTTACGCAAGAAATTAACGAGGCTAGGCATTTACGTGATTTATACCATATACGAGGGGATTCAGACAATTTCAAATTTTGGA